GGGGGGGGGGGTCTCACCTTGCCCAGCAGACGCCCTCGGGTGTAGCTCCGGCCGCTCAGGGGGTCCCGGATCGTCTTGGTCGGACTGGGGGCTACGCTCCGGGCGGGTTCGGGCACTAGGCCACCCGGATAGGGCTGTGATTGAATATAACAGGCTGACTCCATCCTTCATACCCGCCGCCCGAAGCCGATCTCACCGCTCGCTCGCCGGCCCGGAGCTTATATCACCCCGGGCGTGACGTCACAGGGGATGAACAGGGGGCGGTCCAGGGAGAAGAGGGGCGGAGTCAGAGAGGAGAAGAAAAGCGACTGTGGAGAGGAGTAGGCGGGGTTGAATAGGGAGTAGGCGGGGTTGAATAGGGAGTAGGCGGGGTTGAATAGGGAGTAGGCGGGGTTGAATAGGGAGTAGGCGGGGTTGAATAGGGAGTAGGCGGGGTTGAATAGGGAGTAGGCGGGGTTGAATAGGGAGTAGGCGGGGTTGAATAGGGAGTAGGCGGGGTTGAATAGGGAGTAGGCGGGGTTGAATAGGGAGTAGGCGGGGTTGAATAGGGAGTAGGCGGGGTTGAATAGGGAGTAGGCGGGGTTGAATAGGGAGTAGGCGGGGTTGAATAGGGAGTAGGCGGGGTTGAATAGGGAGTAGGCGGGGTTGAATAGGGAGTAGGCGGGGTTGAATAGGGAGTAGGCGGGGTTGAATAGGGAGTAGGCGGGGTTGAATAGGGAGTAGGCGGGGTTGAATAGTAGTAGGCGGGGTTGAATGGGGGAGTAGGCGGGGTTGGGAAGATATGAGGGGTGTGGCCAGGCGGGTTGGGCAGCCACGTGTCTCTTCCAGTTCATTCATTCTCCGCTCGCTGAACAGATGTGAAGATGGAAGATGAAGAGGACCTGTCATGGCAGGAATGGGAAGGATGAAGAGGACCTGTCATGGCAGGAATGGGAAGGATGAAGAGGACCTGTCATGGCAGGAATGGGGAGGATGAAGAGGACCTGTCATGGCAGGGATGGGAAGGATGAAGAGGACCTGTCATGGCAGGAATAGGAAGGATGAAGAGGACCTGTCATGTACCTGTCATGGCAGTAGTGGGGAGGATGAAGAGGACCTGTCATGGCAGGAATGGGGAGGATGAAGAGGACCTGTCATGGGTGGAATGGGGAGGAGGAAGAGGACCTGTCATGGCAGGAATGGGGAGGATGAAGGGCACCTGTCATGGCAGTAGTGGGGAGGATGAAGAGGACCTGTCATGGCAGTAGTGGGGAGGATGAAGAGGACCTGTCATGGCAGGAATGGGGAGGATGAAGAGGACCTGTCATGGCAAGAATGGGGAGGATGAAGGGGACCTGTCATGGCAGGAGTGGGGAGGATGAAGAGAACAGCTCAGAAGTTTTATTGCTGCAGCAAGATTTATATACTGATATAGTGGGAACGCTCACGCTGCACATCCAGGATAGACAGCGGCTTCTCCATCCTTTGCTTCATATTATTAGATTGTCAGCTCTGAGGATCGGGGCCCATATTGAATTGTATTGTTACTGTGATGTCTGTAGAGTGCTGCACACACTGCTGGTGCTCTATAAACCCTGTATGATAATAATAATGATATATATGTGTATACATTGTATATAATGACCCTCCATGGGCGGCGCTCTCTTCTCCCTGATGCGGATTTCACGTTGCCGGGGGAGATGAGCAGTTTCAGGGCGGCCGCGATTCCCATAATGTCATTCTACAATCACCCGATTCCTCTCAGTTCTCTTTTCATCCTCTTCTGGGATCCTCGCACCCGTCTGTGAAATGACTCAGAGAATGATTAGTGTCTGGAGCTGTGCAGAGGAAGATGGCGGTCTGTGCGGCGCGGAGAGTTTGTGCCCAGGGCCGGGCCGAGGGGTAGGCAGAAGAGGCGTCCGTCTTGGGGGCTTCAGCGGGAAGGGGGGCACAAAAAAGGGCTGAAGCTGCATCCGATACGGCTCTTCACAGCTCAGGGGGGAAAGGGGGGATGCACTTTTCCGTGCTAAAGGACCTTGTCCCAGCACTGACTGGGGTGCAGAGAGTTTGGGGTGCAGAGAGTTTCCAGCACGCAGTGCAAATTACTTTTTTTTTTTCTAAATAAAAGGTTTTTCTTTTCTGAACTGTTTTCATCCATTCTGCTCACATCTCGGGGTTCTCCTCACATCTCGGGGTTCTCCTCACATCTCATGGTTCTCATCTCAGTGTACTCCTCACATCTCGGGGGTCTCCTCACATCTCGGAGTTCTCCTCACATCTCGGGGTTCTCCTCACATCTCAGGGTTCTGCTCACATTTCGGGGTCTCCTCACATTTCGGGGTCTCCTCACATCTCGGGGTCTCCTCACATCTCGGGGTTCTGCTCACATCTCATGGTTCTCATCTCAGTGTACTCCTCACATCTCAGGCTTCTCCTCGCGTCTCGGGGTTCTCCTCACAGCTCGGGGTTCTCCTCACATCTCAGGTCATGGTAGTCATGGTTACCATGACCTGTATGAATGAGAACCTTCACAGACATACTTACGTCTCAGGCTTCTCCTCGCATCTCGGGGTCTCCTCACATTTCGGGGTCTCCTCACATCTCGGGGTCTCCTCACATCTCGGGGTTCTGCTCACATCTCATGGTTCTCATCTCAGTGTACTCCTCACATCTCAGGCTTCTCCTCGCGTCTCGGGGTTCTCCTCACAGCTCGGGGTTCTCCTCACATCTCAGGTCATGGTAGTCATGGTTACCATGACCTGTATGAATGAGAACCTTCACAGACATACTTACGTCTCAGGCTTCTCCTCGCATCTCGGGGTCTCCTCACATTTCGGGGTCTCCTCACATCTCGGGGTCTCCTCACATCTCGGGGTTCTGCTCACATCTCATGGTTCTCATCTCAGTGTACTCCTCACATCTCAGGCTTCTCCTCGCGTCTCGGGGTTCTCCTCACAGCTCGGGGTTCTCCTCACGTCTCAGGTCATTGTAATCATGGTAGTCATGGTTACCATGACCTGTATGAATGAGAACCTTCACAGACATACTTACGTCTCAGGCTTCTCCTCGCATCTCGGGGTTCTCCTCACATCTCGGGGGTCTCCTCACATCTCAGGGTTCTCCTCACATCTCGGGGTTCTCCTCACATCTCGGGGTTCTCCTCACATCTCGGGGTTCTCCTCACATCTCGGGGTTCTCTCATATCTGGAGGTTTAGCTCGTGGTTCTGTTTTCAGCTGGTCGATATTTGCTTCCAATGTTTTCACTGGCAGAAGCAAGCATTGTCAATCTATAGGCTCAGCATCCCGATATTATCCATCGTGCCGGAATGTTCTGTCCAATCATTTCTCACATTTGAATGGTTCCCCCAACCTGTGGAAGGTTCATCCTGCCGCATTCTCCAATCTCCTGAGGACGGTCGTGGTGAGATCTCCCTGTTCTGGGTGTTCCCTTCTCCTCCATATCACACAGAACATTCCAGCAATGTGATAGAAGCTGCATTCCTCTGGATAAGTTGCCCCTTTGGCTCTGCAGGCCATAGACTGAGGCCTGCTCTGCCTCATAGTAAATCG